GAAATACTTTACCTAGTTGTTTTTTTGTTTAATATTTTATAATTCTACTTCTAAGATTATTTTATGTTAGTAAATTTGTAAGTTGTATTAGTATTAATTGAAGTAATTTTGTGTGTATAAAACTACTATGGCCATGGCTGCTATCAGGTACATTTACCTTACAGCCAAAAGGTGCGTTTCACGGACGGGTTGAGTACCTTTCCAAAAGGTATTGTTATTTGCGAATATAAAGTGTTTATTTGCGAAAACATCTGCGTCAGAACATATGTACGAATATTTTTGATAAATGACATAGAAATTGTCACAAAAATTAAAATATGAAAGGGTACTTTTGATCCATTGGCGGTTTTTGTGTGTTCATTATGTAGAAAGCAGTATGGATATAATGAGTTGTATCGTTTTCGGGTTTAATATTGCAACTGTGCAAGTAAGTACTCCGATTTTTTGTACAATGTAGGTGAGTAGAATTAGAAATAATATCTGAATGAGATTCTTTAATCTTTGTATTATACTTATCTATAGGTACTATATTTGGTGTACTTACATATTGGTTAGTTTTAGTGTTTAAGAGATATTATATATATATATTTTTTAAAGTGTAACGATATAGTTTCTTGGTCATTCTTCTCCATTCGAAACTACACTTTAGGACGAGCGCCTAGCTTTACTAACAATACAATTTGACGTTTCAAAAATGCCTAACCAAGGGTTAATTCAAATAAATAAATACTTTGATTTTGAAATATCGAACTATTTCTACAAATTAGCGTTACACCTACAACTACAGACTTGTACTTGACTTTGTATTTTCAACAATGAAACGAGTTTGAAGTCAAATTAGTTCAAGTTACATTGTAAGTCTTACCCAGACTAAACCTGTATGAAAATAGGTTATTAGGCAATAGTGTGTTGTATTTTTTTGCAAACGACAAAAGCACAACATTTAGATGGTACCTACGATTATCTAAAAAGCAGTTAAGACCATTAACACATAACGGTACTTGTACCCTATTGTTTTATACAACAAATAACCAATAACTCTTTACAATTACAAAACAGTTGAATCATTGAATTTCTTTCAACTTTTACACTCTATTTTTGGCGAAACAAAATGGCTGTTCCGTAGAAAGTAACTGGGAATAGAAAAGGTTCAGTTTTAACTGTCAATAAATCAGTTCAATTATTGTTTTGCCGCCGACTGCGATAACAATGTTATTGTTGAATTTTGCAATAAAACAAATGAAGAATTGCGTCTACTGAGGAAGTAGATAATGGTTTAAACATGGCCTGTTAAAGTAGTATTTTTTATACTTTGACTTTTGCCTTCTTTAGAAAAAAGTTAAAAGAAAGTCTCGCTTCTTTGTTTCATCTAGATTTAAGTGATCTATGTTAAGTAGTGTGGTGGTGGTGGTGGCCCAGACAAACGGTTTAGTATAATATAAATAGACTACGGTAGTGCTTTCTAGATTTTAAAACTGAAAAAATATATAATACACCCACTACCCAGTATGAACGACAGTTAGTGGATCACATCCAGAATTACTCCGTTCAACAATTAATTTCGGCACGAATGGGCCGGCTCGACCGGAGTGATACCACGCCCTCAGAGAAAACCGACGTGAAGCAACCCTTGCGTTGTGTTTCGTCATGTGAGTGAGGTTACCGGAGGCCCAATTCCTAATCCCCAAAAGGCTGGTAACGCATTTGTAACGCGTCTGGTGTTTCGGGTGTCCATGTTTGACGCCGATTGCTTACCATCAGGTGATCTGCCCACTCATTTACAGACTTATCATATAAAAAATAATATTTACTTTACTGTGACGCTAGGTTCGACTCCAACTCAGTATTTTTCGGATCTACTAAGTATGTAACTGTAGTTGCGGCTTGAAAACTTGTATTATTTTATAGAATTGTAGACCCATTAACTTGTATGCTTGTATCAGGTGATTCGCCTGCTCGTTTACCGGCTTATGCCATAAAAAAACAACCGTTCATCAAGCTACTAGATCATATTAATAAGTTCCTACCTGTACGATTAGATGAACTTCCCACCTATACAAACTGTATTCTGGTAAATTCCTTTACATATATTATTCCGCGAATTAATCTATTTTAAAACCACATAATTATGATTGGCATAACAACAGAATTGAAATGACAAAACAATGCATTATATTATTTAGCCAATTATTCCCTATTTATAGTCAGTATTTAAAATGAGGATAAATCACGTTAAGTAATTCTCTGTTTATTGTGCCTAAAATATGTTAAAGGTAACTTTGCAAAACCAAGTAGGTTAGTTAGGTAGGGAACTCGTTTTGCGATTTTTTTCTTTTATTTTTTTTTATTTGCTCTATATTCCCACCAACCTCTTTTAAATACAGAACAGGTAAAAACTTTTTTCAATAAGTAAAACTCGAGCACCCCACAATGGGGTCCCGGTGAAAGTTTTCGTCAAGAATCCGTTCACGGACAAACAAACATAATGCTACTTTTTTATATATACATCAAGGACGTTATTAGCAAAAAAATATTCGGTATTTGGTTAGTTTTCGCCATGGGACCTTTCTCCGAAACGAATTGTTACCACAAAAGGGTTTTAGATTTCACAAACAGATGTGTGTTTTTTCCGATTTCAAAATTTTGCGTAGATATGACATCTGTCAAACAGTACTTACCTATATATATAGGTAAGTATATGGTTTATATTTTACCTGCGTAGAGATATCATAATGTTATTGTCGTATATAGGTAGTCTGGCTACCTAAATAAATCCAACAGAAATAACAAATTATAAATAAATATAACCCGACAGACAGACACCTACTTTCCTCTATAAGTAGTGAGTTTATTGTTACAAAACTACAATTATTTCAAGCTTTCAAACAACTTCTAATTATATTTGATGGGCCGACATTTTTTTCTAATTATGCGTTTTCTATCACCGGTGGATACATACTATGGGGAGCGAATTAGCGAATTGTTTGGACAGATCGCTGCATTCTTATTATTGTCTAAAATTATTTCCGTCATCCAGAATAGCTGTGTGCGAAAAGATGTTTCGCGAAACACGACAAAGCTGTGAAATCAAAGTCAAAGTCAAACCATTTATTTCAATAAAACCATAATTTGATACTTTTGAAACTTCAACAAATACAATAATTGTCCGTCATTCAGTCCGTCAGTGAAGCTAGGTGAAGCTAGGTGCCCATTCCAAAATGTAGATTTGAATGGAGAAGAATGAGCAAGAAACTCCATTTACATCTCCACTATCGCTTGTAGTATTCCCGAACTGATACAAGTCCTGTAACTTCAGGTATTGTGGTTAGACAATAGGTATGTCTACTCATTTACCCAGTATTCGATAATAAGAACTTCTTCCTATGAAAAACAGCTTGGATAAAAATACAGTTAATCTTCAAGTCCTCATCCCACAATCGTTAACATCCATACAAATAACACCAAACCATAAAAATTTAAAATAACGTAAAGGGCGAAGAATACTATTTATAGCCCCTCTCAAAAAAAAATAACACGAATCAAAGAATTGAAAATTAAAAGGCAATTTTACAGAATTGACATGGCGCTGACAAGAAAATTATTGTTGTGCATGTCTACTCGATATTTGATAGACAGTCACCTTTGCATGCCCTTTTATAATCTGTGGAGCACGCGCGACCTTTCGGTAGCTACATAAAATATTTATAATCTATTCTTTCTGTCCGTCAGTTCATAACTGGCCGTATATGACGTAATATGAAGAAAAAATGACAGTTGTTAGTATTTGTCAATGTTTAAATGCTACATATTTTGATGTCTTTATTATGCGTTTTCAATGCCTATTGAATTATTTTTTAATCTGCAAAAAAAAAAATTGGTATCGTTAGGATAGACGTCACAATTCTTAGATTATTTTGGCCAGTAACATTTTACACTGTAATAGGAAACAATTAAACAATATTTATTATCCTTTATTTAATCAGTTGTCGTTTTCATTATACATTACGAATGCTAAATCTAACTTAAATTAAATTAATCTTAATTAACAAAAACCTTAAAAATTAGTAAATGCATCATTCGTTTGCGAGTTAATCTCAAAGGAAGAACACCATTACTTAAACAAATGAAATGAAAAAAAAAACATGGACGACAAAAAAAATTGAAATGACAGTTGTTTTTTTTATTTTTACCTTATACATTAATAAGTCATCATCAAAAAGGCGTGGTCTAGCAAGCCTAAGTGACAAGAACCTTAAGTTTGCTACCAAAATAATAATGCTATTAAAAAAAAAATAATAAACAGTCTATTTCTCTATTATAGGGTGCTCAATACAATAGTTGAAGTCCAATTATGTTGATGGTTGCTAGCAGGTCAAGTTATACTTTTCATTACATTACATTTTCAACTTTATTGTATTGTTAAAGAGTTGAAAATTCAATGAATAAAATTGACAGATTGAAGTAATTTGATCTGCTGGCAACTGTACATTTGTGGCTATTTATTCATTATGAAATTAAATCAGTAGGTATACCTGTTGAAAATTGTTGAATATCATCCCCTAAATTTGTTCATACAAAAGTAGTCTCTAAACATTGGAAATAAGGTCTATAATGTAGTTTGGAGAGCGGTCACCGGTGACCGCTTGGAGATATTATGGGTTTACGTTATTCATAGCTTCAAGCTTTTTGATTTTTTCTTTTGTTTTTTTTTTATTTTTCTATTAAAACAGTAGCAAACACCCCGATGTTCCCTACGCCAAAGATATTCTATAAAATCTTAAAACTAATCGAATTTATGATTAAAGTAAATATTAAATGCGTCTGATGGCGAATTATTTAGTGAAATGATAAATATTAATAAAAAATGTAGTCTTTTTTCTTAATGTATTAAAATGTATATAAAATAAAGTACGTATTTATTGGCAACCATACTTTGAGCATTCTTTTATAAACTTATATTTATAATTAAAATTTATATTTAAATTAAAAGTAGAAAAACATTAATTTATGAGTATTATTGAGCACCAAAATTCTTCATTCTTATTAGTACCTTTAGCTGAATTATTTTCAAATTAATTCTAATTTATAAGTATTCGTATACCTCAATTAATTTATTTTAGAGTTCAAAAAACTTGAAATTAAAATTCAAAATTCGTAGAGAGGTATTGAGTATTCGTAGAATAGATTAGTAGCATATCATAATTATTATCTACTATTATAAAGAGTATTATTTTTCGATTTTTATTACATAGAATATGTCACCTATGCCTATAGGCCTTGCATATTTGTAACAAACATGTTGAGCCACTATCTCCACAGATAAAAAAAAACAGCTACAAAACTAAAATTTTAAAAAGAAACTTAAAAGTTAAACTTTAAAAATTACTTATCATTAAACCTTACACAGTTATGACGTCACATAAGAACTAAAGAATGACTGAACTAGATCTACGTACTAAAGGCTCAGTTTAAATGTACAGGTCGAAATCGAACCCGCCACCTCCACTGAGGTAGTCGTACAGGTATACCTCCATTTCCTCTAAAGCTTCGATGCTTGGGTCACGAAGAGGAACGTCGCGGATTGAGCGAGCTGATCGGGAGAGGCTGTGGGGGAACAAGACATTTATTTGGTTAATTGGTAACAATTTAAGCTTAAACTGTCAAACATCGCGAGGACACTGGTGACCGCAACCTATTGTGCTTTAATTGTGTCTATAATGACGGTACTCGACGAGTTAAGTAAGTTTTTATTATGTTTTGACGGCACGGTTGGTGCAGTGGCTGGGCCACTGGCTACCGCACAACGTGTCGCGGGTTTGATTCCCGCACGGAACAATTCTTTGTGTGATCCACAAATTGTTGTTCCGGGTCTGAGTGTCATGTGTATGTGAACTTGTCTGTTTGTAAACGCATGCACGACACAGGAGGAAATAAAAAAAAAATACGTGCTAACATAGGTTTCAACTAAATTTTAAACTAATTATTATGTTTTCGGCTTATTAATGTTACTGTTTGACGAGGAACTCGACTATTTTTAAAAATACTGTTTTTCGGAAGTTGGCTGACCAAACAAATTCTTCAGCAAGTTATAAATTATGTTGTAGGCAATTTCATTAATATTACAACTACAATAAATGCGAAAGGATTCTCGAATAACGATACAGTCAAGAGATATCAGGCATTTCGGAGAGACAATGAACTAACTCCGGTTGAGCCAAAATATAGCTCTCTTTCATAAAACCTTTTAGATCTAATAGGGATGATGACAGGGTATGAAAATTAAAAATGTAATTAGTCCGTCAGTTAGGTAATGAAAAAATATTAGACACGTATTATTTATTTTGATGTATAATAAAGTGATACTTAGATATATCGAATTAAAGTTTAGGAGTGGGCGCTAAAACGTCATTTCCACGTATAAAATGTACTGAGAAGTGACGTCAAGCGACATTTCAAATCAATATACCGTCAAAGTATTCGTTACTGTAAAAAAATAAAAAAATACGTGTTTAATGATTTAAAATAATCTACCAGACAGACATTAAAATAAAAATTAGTCATCTACCCTATTAACGGATAGGCTGGTTGCAACTTACGCAAAATCAGTGTCAGAGTCGAACATGTACTCCTTGTTGAAATGCTCATTGATGTCCTTCATGATGCACGCCTCCAGCTTCTTGTGCTGAAAACACAAACAAAATGATAAATATAATAGGTACGCTGTTGTTATCATCATCACTGTAAGTACCATGTAACACCCACTTTTCACTATTTATGTTAAGAGTCCCATGTAATAGGGGGTGAGCCTATTGCCATATATCGTGCACATTTCCAGACTCCGTGCTATCTCTGAGATTTTTTAAAAAAACTCAGTCGTACTTTGATCGACCCGGGAATCAAACCCGAGACCCCTTGCCCGGCAGTCGCACTTGCGACCGCTCGGCCAACGAAGCAGGCAGCTGTTTTTATCCAATGATAATTTCACGACTCTTCCTTTGACCTTAGAGAAGAAAGCTGCTAGGGTAATGTTTGTTACCTTGTAGCAACGGAAGAAGAAGATGGCTCTGATTTGCTCCTGGGGACGTGGGACTATGTCACGCTTGTCTTCTGGCACACATTGCTGAAACAAAAGAACGTTTTAGAAGACATTGCGTTGGTAGGTAGTTCGTAGTATCGATGCTCACGGCCCGCCTGCCTGATAGGAAGTAGTCACCACAGCCTTAGTAGTACACCTACAACAGCAGAAGTATGCATATATACAAATGCGTGACCAACCTTGTAGGAAACAGTTTTTTTTATGGCATAAGTCGGTAAACTAGCAGACGGATCACCTGATGGGAAGCAATCGGCGTCGCTCATGGACACATCGAACACCAGAGGCGTTACAAGTGCGTTACCAGCCTTTTAGAGATTAGGAGTTTGAGGATTGTTGGGGATTCAGGAATTGGGGAGATTGGGGAAGGGGAGGGTAATTGTGCCTCCGGTGGAGAACCTAACGGGTAACCGGGGCTCCGACTCGACGTGCAGGAGAAGGAATGGGGTGGTTTTTAGTCAGTAAGAGTCTGACACTCCCTCCCGCCTCACCCAGGCGGGAGCAGTCATTCGATGATTTTCCCCCCTTAAAAAAAACCTCACTAACACGACGAAATACAACGCAAGCTTTGCTTCACGTCGGTTTTCTGTGAGGCCGTGGTATCACTCCGGTCGAGCCGGCCCATTCGTGTCGAAGCATGGCTCTCCCACAGTTTAATTATTATTGTACCATAATTTACCTGGAGGAAGGCTTCCTGAATCTGGCGCAATTAAAAGACGGGTTTGGTACTCTGACGAAGAATAAGCGTGACTTCTCTTCCTAAGTGAGTTCTTAGAAGTTAGGAGACTCACCGAAAACTTCTGACAGAACTGCAGTCCCTCTTGTATGTCGTTCTTCAGCTCACCGGAGACGGGCAGGTTGCTGATCCTCTGTGTGATCTGTTCGTAGTTGGGCTCCATATTGCTGTCGATGTAGCCCAGTTCTTGCATCACACAGGTTACGTTTTGGCTGGCTTGTGCACGGGCGCTCATACCGAGGCGGGCGCGGAGACCGAGGTGGCGCTGAGGACATTGTGATGAAGAAATATTATTAACGTTAATTTTAGATAGAACGGGACTGATTAAAGTAAAAGCAGGCAATAATTCGGTGAGCCAGGCAACAATAATTAAGTTGCTTGGCTTTGTTATTAAAAATGATGTCCAATAAATAATATAAGATATGAAATCGTTGCTGAATTTTTAATATTCCAAATTCACTGTAATGGGATCGCCCCTTACACGGGGCTTAAGCGTAAACACAATGTTGTTAATATTGTGTTGTGTCTTAAATAAAAAAATGGCGGACAAAGAATAGGTACTAGTTATGCCATGATACAGTATAGATGTAGGTAAGTATCGTGTATAAAAATCCCAAAGACAACGTCACTCACCGACATCCGACTATTCCCAAAGAAGGGTTGTTGTTGTTGAAAGAAGGGTTGCTGGTACTGTTGTTGTGCAAAATAAGGGTTGTAGGGCAAGTTCGGAGGGTAGAACACAGGCGCATTGTACGGCATCTGATAGTAAGGGTTGGCGCTATATGGACGGAACTGTGTTGGTACAACGTAGGGTGGAATCGCTGACTGAGGTTGCGGGAATGGACCCTGGAAAAAAAACATTGATTAAAAAGTTATCAGTCATCATCTTCATTAACTCAGGCTTTTATTTTCCGAGAAAAAAATATATAATCTATAATTATTAATTATTACAATTTGCAAGTAAATAAGGCTAAAGAGTGTACCTACTACTAATTTTAGCAGATACTAATAACCGACAGAAACTGCATATTTAATGTTAAAAAAAGATCTAAATTAACAAAAAAAAAATTATTAACTAGCTTTTGCCTGCGACTACGTCCGCGTAGTATATGAATCCTGTTTTATCCCATAGGAGCATTTAATCGGGATAAAAAGTATCCTATGAACTAAGTCAGCCTGCCAGTATACCAAATTTTAACAAAATTCTGTTCAGAAGTTTCAGCGTGATTGACGGACAAACATACATACAAAGAAACTTTTATATTCATAATAATAGTGTTATTTCTTCCGTTAAATTGTATTTGTTGTGTATGTGAACTTGTATGTTTGTAAACGCACCCACGACACAGGAGAAAATCCTAATGTGGGGCAAAGTTTAAAAAAAAATTGGAAACTAATACACACGGCTACACATTGAGCTTTACATAACCAGTATAAACTGAACGTTAAATGTGCGGAAAGATGATGCGACGCGATACCAGGATAAACTGGTTTTGTATAGATTGATATGTGGCCGTGTATACCTTTATACCTAAGTACATCCCGAGTAAAAAAAAGTAATAAAGTTCCTTTATATAGTAAAATTAAATTCGACTATTTATTTGTTCAGCACAACGGCCTAATGTGTGTTATCAGTATGTATGTTGTCCATATTTGTTCTTATCAATGCAAGAGACTAGCTTGATAATTATGAAGTACGTTCAAAAAGATATGGCCAAATAAAATGACATTTAATAATAATAAATTTATAAAAAAATAAGTAGGTATTGGATTCATGCCACACATCAATGTAAGTTAATATCATTGAACTATGAATTAAAATATTTGTACTAAAATTTATAGTTCAAAGAATTTTTTTAAATAATTTCTTTATACAAAGTGACTTCAGTGGAGCAAAAGATTATTTAGACTTTGATGGAAATTAAAAAAACATGTATTGATATAACAACTAGGGTAACGATCGAGTATTTCGCGACCTTCATCATAGCCTCTTTAGCTCAGTGGTAGAGCACTGGTCTCGTAAACCAGGGGTCGTGAGTTCAATCCTCACAGGAGGCATCGCGTTCGTTTTTGTTGTTTTCAATTTTGTTTTACTTTTTGATATTTTTCAATATATTTTTTCATAATATTTTGTAATATTTACCCCATGTGGTCGGAAAGTCAATACACCGCCCATTGTTTGTTTTTGTGGTGTAGGTCCTTGATCTTGAATATTTCCTTCGTCATCTTTATTGTGTATAGCGCCATCTAGCGGTTTTGTAATGGTTTGCGAGTTCGGGTCCATAGAGAACCCAGGCGGCAGCTTACTTAAGAACAACGGTGGTATGTGTGAGTTCAGAGGCTCCTTCATAGGTGGCGCTGTTGAACATTTTGCGTATGCGTCTTTTAGTTCTTTGGTTATTTGTTTTAAAAGCTGAGTGCCGAAGCAGCTTTCATAGATCTGTGAATATAAATTAACTCGAATTAAAACAAAAATTGCACTTTCCTTTGAAAACATTTTAACCAGGTACTTAGGACTAGGCAATTATTTTCATTAAAATGAATAAATACAGTTTTAAACGGAATATGATACAAGAAATTATATGAAAATCATTACATTATTATTTCAATTACTAAATATATTAAAGTACAATTGTGTACCGCTATTTCGACAATGTTAACATGAGCAGTCGTGGCCGAGCGGTTAAGGCGTCTGACTAGAAATCAGATTCCCTCTGGGAGCGTAGGTTCGAATCCTACCGACTGCGAACTCTTTTTGCACTTTTGAATATTTATTTATCCTTTTTTACAATTATTTAATTACAATTTACCTTTAGCATAGCATAATCCTTCATGAATTTGTTATCTGCACTATCTAAGGCTTGGGCGGACGCCCAGAATAAGAAACAGAAAAATATTTGAGCCCGCATCTTGTACCTGTGAAAAAAGAAAAAAAATGTCATTTTGTTGTTAGTGAGCAACTGGGACACTAAACATAAACAAATTAGGTAATTTTAAATACGTAGTTGGATTATAGTGTTACCATTTTGCTAGTTTTATGCTATCTACATTTGTGTTGTTCGTAATCGTAGGAAACACAATCAGGCTTATGCAGGTCTCATTTTTCGGGGACTAAATTCCTAGGTCTGTCATAACAGGGGATTACTCTTGAATCCAATACCGATCGATCGACATTGGTATTGTGAAATTTTATACCTTTGAGTTGCAACACTAGCTCCTATTCCATTCGTGGATATTGAATGAACTAAATAGTATTGAGTTTGCATATATATTTCGTACTCTGAATGTTCTTTTAACAGCTACGATAGGAGTTCTATAGTTTTGACATTGAATAATTATTGGATTGAAATTGCATTGACATTGAGATTGGTTTCAAAAGTAAGTACCCAGAGCCGTGTTATGATATTAAAATATGTTTATTTTTATTTAAGTATCTGAAGATACTTAGGATAAGGAAAGCTGCAGTAGAAAAAGAAAGCTGCAGTATTGCCAGTGGGCTATTGTCTCATTTCAACACGTTATTTGTTAATAGATCTTTATAATCTAATCTTATACTATTCCTCTTATCTTATATTATTCTCTATGAAGAGTTTCTTATTTGTTTGTTTGCTTGAACGCGCTAATCTCCGTAACTACAAGTCTGATTTGAATAATTCTTTTTATGTTGGATAGTGCATTTATCGACGATGGCTATAGGCTATAATACATCACGCTACGACCAATAGGAGCTGAGCAGAGCGTGTGAAACAGCGCGGAAGTGGCTAGTTTTTATGACTTTGTTTATTTAGAACATCTAAGTATATTCTATCATTTAATATTTCAAGGCATAAAACAAATACTTAAGTGTTTAACCAACCAACCAGCATAATCATCTAGGCACTTATGTAAATAGTAACATAACAAATTCTAGGTACACTAGTCAAGTCTCCCGGCTTGATTCGCTCGGTTGCACTTTTGAGAAGTCCGTTCCTGTTACAAGTTTTCTTTGTTCTTTATGTAATTTTACGGTAAGTAATTTCTCTTTGCAATTATTGTATAAATTTATTCTGCAAGTAATTTTATGTGAAACTTTAAAAAAGTATATACACACACACCGGTGACCGCAACCTATTGTTCTTTAATTGTGTCTATAATGACGGTACTCAAAGGGTTAAACAAAATTGTTTCGACTGTGAACAGTACATATAATAAAATATTAAAAAATAATCACACTTTCATTGATTGATTTTATGATCAACTTGATTTTAGTATTTATTCAGCAATTTTTCTAGAAATAAGAATACTGTTTGACGCAAAAACTGTGACGTCACAACACACAATTGCGTACAAAATTCATAGAAAACTGTCGTTTTTGACAGTTCGATAAAAGTATTGAAGTTGACTAGTCGGGCAGTACCCAATGGTCCGTCACAGTCTACTGCTGGAAGCTAGAAATTGGATCTTTTGAGCATTTAAGACGAGTTACCTATAAAAGCTATAGCTACAACACATGCAGGTATCTATGTTCTTACTACTGATAAATGAAATAAAACCCTCAATTGTTAGTTACATAATATATTGCTACGGAGATACTGGACCTAAATGTTAGATGTGTTACCTATTAACTCGTCGAGTACCGGTTTTGTAGACACAATTATAGAACAATAGGTTGCGGTCACCGGTGACCGCTTGGTGTTTGACAGTTTAAAAGTGTCTAAATTACGTATATTTGTTGGTATAAAAAAATTACGTTTTCTTTGCTCAAAATGTACTGATTTGTGAGTTACAAAAGCTACTCTCAACTCTGTAACTAAATTGTATAAATAGGTAATTTCTTTATTATTTTAAGTCTGAAATTCAACATTGTCATCTTTTAAAAGTTTACAAAATGTAACCAATGGTGCTAAACAAATGCCTCCTGTGAGGATTGAACTCACGACCCCTGGTTTACGAGACCAGTGCTCTACCACTGAGCTAAAGAGGCGATGACGATACTGCCATACTAACGCACCACTATACGTACGTATAGTTAGGGTAGCTAATGTACACAGGGCCACACATTAATATATACAAAACCAGTTTATCCTGGTGTCGCGTCGCATCATCTTTCCACACATTTAACGTTCAGTTTATACTGGTTATGTAAAGCTCGATGTGTAGCCTTATGTACAGGTAATTCATAAAGACAGTTTGTAAAACATTCCTATTGTGATTTGTGATGGTATTTAAACTAATCTGCCTCGTTGGCTGAGTGGTCGTAAGAGCGACGTGCGGGGGTCTCGGGTTCGATTCCCGGGTCGGGCAAAGTATAACTGGGTTTTAAAAAAAATCTCAGTAGTAGCACGGAGTCTGGAATTGTGCCCGGTATATGGCAATAGACTCACCCCCTATAACATAGGACTAATAAAATAAATAGTGAAAAGTGGGTGTTACTTCAGTGTGCACCTCTGCCTACCCCTTCGGGGATAAAAGGCGTGATGTTAAACATAACACACAATGTTTAAACTAATTTGCTGGATGATATTAATGCTGATTTTATCAACATAGGCATGTTAAGTAACTTTATTAATCAGTCTAGTTTTCCGTCCGTGCATTCGATTCATTTGCGTAACTTTTAGATATCTCTCTGTAAAACTCTTATTTTTTATAAAAAAGCATATACGGTCGAATTGAGAACATCCTCCTTTATTAAGTCGCTTAAAAACATGATCTAGGACAATACTCAAATGCCTAAAAATGTCCTACACTAGACTTACAAAAATGCTATGTTTGACCAGAATTTCCACCGTATATTTAAACTTACACTACTGTTAGTTATTGTTCTGATTGCTTTAAAGAGAAAACTATCAATAAATCGTTCAAGTTAAATGATAATAACTGCAAACACAAATAACTGGAATCCACTACTTCAACTAGATAGAACTACATCGGCACAGAGGCGTCAATAAAAAGTTTTAATAGCGACGGCCTAAGGCCTTAGTACGAATTTCATTTACGTATAAAGTAATCGTATCGAGTACGCGTTCGACGCTCTGATTGGTTCGTTATTTGGCGCCGGCCAATCAGAGTGCCGAACGCGTACTCGTTTCGAATACTTTAAACGTAAATGAAACTCGTAGTGTTGGAATGCCAGTTATTATTTGTGTTAAGTTTATAGCAAGCTTCATATTTACAGTTAGACGTTTAACAAATAACCGTTGTGTGTTTTTGTTCGGTCATCTCATAATGGCGTCGATGTGTCCGTTTCCTCTGCGCTATCTAACGCATTTATATGTTTTTATTGCGTTGTATTTATGGATTATGCCTTTTTATTTGTTATTGATTGAATCTATGACTGAGCGACTGCCTCGTTGGTCGAGTGGTCGAAAGTGCGACTGGCGGGCAAGGGGTCTCGGGTCAGATTCCCGCGTTCGTATTTGCTCATAGGTATGAGCACACCTAGGTAGGTGTAGATTCCTATGGAGAAGAACGAGCAAGAAACTTCATAGGTTACTCTTTTTCAATCAGGTTCACTTTAGTTTTAGATTAGTCCTAATATTACACATATCTGATATCTAATTGTGCGAACTTGGACAAATCGCTCATTCTTTAGAACACTTATTAAATATGGTTCCCGTTCCGCATCGAAGGAGACTTGTTGTTCCCATCATAAAAACTTCTGTATGTGGCTATGGGAATTTTCTATAGGGTTACTAATTGATAATATTTATCAGGTTAGCTGTGTTTCTTACTGTATTGAGTGCCGTTGATCTAGTGTTATTGAAAGAGCTTCTCTGACTTTTGAGGCAGCGAATCAGAAATCAATATTTTAGTTTTGTTTACAATTTTCAGAGTTTAGAATTGGATGCGATGTTTGACAACGACTAAAGGTTAATTCGGCTAATAAAATAGTTATAACTATGTTGATGATAACTTAGTCAAATTTCAAATTCTTTTCGGAAGGTAATTACGAATTTATTAATCACTAGCTGCTTCCGCGCGGTTTCACTCGGTCTGCTCGGCGCCTATTAATCGTAGCGTGCATATAGCCGTATCGTATATATTTTATAGCCTTCCTTGATAAATGGGCTATCCAACACAAAAATAATTTTTCAAATCGGACCAGTAGTTTCGGAGATTATCACGTTCAAAGAAAAAAACAAACTCTTCAGCTTTATAATATTAATATACATGAATGTTAAGTTTCGCTGATGAAAAAGAGGAGTTAATAAAAATAAAATTTTTATTTATTTATTTACACATAACATACAAATATCCTTACAGGCTAGACCCAATGCGATATTGCAGCAAATATTAAAATAACAATAATAAACAAAATATACAAACAAGAAATTTCCATATACTCTATAGAATATATAATAAGATAAAGAATATATAATACGCTTTTACATATAGCAAATCCTATGCATGGCTGCTCGGGTAAATTCTCCTAAAGAGCAACAGAATATGTCTACGTCATTAGCAACGAGGTTCAGAGTGCGAAGCGCACACGTGAGCGGTGCCTCCCGCAACAAGTTAGTTCGCGAACGTGGGAAAATGAAGCTACTAATACCTACCCTTTAAGTAAAGAACGGTTAATAAATCGACAGTTATTTCTATTTACCTCTTGTTAAAGATTACAGTAGGTAACCGTAAAGTACAATACCACATGTTATTGGAGACAGATATGGCGATGGTAGGAGACGTCACTTGTTTACGTTTCAGCTCGATTTCCGGGTTAAGACAAAAGTGTGTTAATGTTAAGTTTCATGAATTATGGGTACATTGTTTAAGAGTTTCATTATTCTAATAGTTATTGTGAATTATTATGCTTTGTTTGTGAAAGAAGAGGGATACTTAGAAAGTGGGACTTATCTTCTATTCAACAAAATACTTTTTCTATTATTTAAGTAAGTATGTTAAGAAACATCCCACAATATGAGTCGTGGTGGCCCGGC